ACAATTTCTGTCTTTCTAATGGCAACCCTATAAAGGCTAGATAGTTTTTGCATAATTCAGCTGGGTGTTAATTTTCCTCTTATTGTTAATAAAGCTTTTGACAGTTTGTGTATTTTTACTTAATGCCAGGTATTGATGGAGTTTCCCAAAATTGAATCTGAACACCCACAAAAATATGCAATAGATGCAGAAAGTAAAATTGAAGAAAAGAAAATTGAATCAAATTTTTGCTTTAATAGCAACACACAATGTTCTGGAAAAGATGCCATTCTTTTTAAGCTTGAAACTGCGGAAGAAATTGAGAGAAAACACCAACAGGACAGTGATCTCTCTGTGCAAATGCTAAAAGACTTTCTTGAAGATGACATTGACATGAATCAGTACTTTTTACCACCAAAGTCACTGCTGCGATATGCTCTTTTATTAGACATTGTTAAGCCCACTTGCAGAAGGTCTGTGTGCTTTACCAAAGGGTGAGTTTTAAAGAGACTGTATTCATGTTGTATCCAAAATGACCAGGTTTTTATAGCTTTTTTTAGTTCTTCTCAAAACAAGGAGCATTTTATAAAATGTTTCTGCTGATTTTTTCCCCCTTTAATTGCCTGCTTCATGTTCCAATAGAGCACAAGTGAAAATTTCTTCTGGCAGAACATTATGTGCACCACCCACAAAAGTGCTCGTAAAAGACAATGCCATTTGTCTGGTGACCTTCACAGGAGCTTAAATACCAAGAGTAGAAACATGGTTCGTGTAGATGGTGAATTGCTAGTATTTTAGCACCTTTCTTTCTGTGGCACATCAAACCTCAAAGGACTATGTCCACTGTCATGATCAATGTATAAGAAGAAATTAAATTTTAATCTAAAGAAATAAAATTGAATCATCTGGAGCACACTAGTGTTTTTTAAATTTAAATTTTATTTAGTTTTTTTAATAAGTAATATATTGCCATAGTTCAAAATTCAAAAAGTATTATGGTTATAAGACTCCATTCCACTTTTTTCTCTTAGCTATATTGTTTCCCACCCTACACAAAGCCAATGATATTAATTTACTATATAATCATCCATAGGTATTATGTGTGAGGATGTATTTAAATATACAGTACATGTATATTTTCGTCCCCCTTTGAAGCAAATGGTAGCATATTATATAATTATTGGGGGCCATTTTTTTTTACTGCACAATATAAATTGGATATTGTTGCATATCAGTACATAAAAGCCTTTTCTATTCTCATGGTATAGGTATATCATAATTTATTTTACTGGTTATCTATTGATGAACATTTAGGAGGATTTCTTTGGGTTATTTCTCAACTGTTTAATACATTTTTCATCAATTTTTTTAAACCTAGAAAAAAGGGGAGAATTAAGCCTCTTTGGAAAAATTTTGCCAAAGATCCCTATCTCTGCTTTGTAAATGCCACTCACCCTCATTTGATAGGTAGTTGTATGATTTCACAATTCAAGCCTTTCCTTCCTACGTACTATCTTGCCGTCTTGGACAAGACTCTGTGCCCCTGATACACCCATACCAGACTCATTTAGATTTTATCATACTCTGCCCTTGTACTTCAGGGGAAAGGGTTTATTGCTTTCCACTAGCTTTAAAGACTTCACTCAGCTGTTGTCTATTACCAAGTCCAATAGGTTCTGTTTAGGACTCTCATAAAATAAGACTTATCAATTTTGCAATAAAAAACAACCTTCCTTTTTTTTGGGGGGGGGGCATAATGAAGATGGTATTAAAGAAGCCGTACTATAAACATCTATTTTAGTATGGATACTATATACACACATATTTATATGTGTGGTATACTTGAAAAACAATTTGAAAAAATTATTTCTCCCTGGTGTGACTTTTTTTCCCTCTAATTTATATTTTAAATTGTTTTCTTTAGGAAAAAATACTAGTATTTTGAACAACTGGCTTGGCAGTAATCTTAAAGAAATACTACTAATGCCGTTCGTTTTCAAAATATTTTATGCTTTTTATACAGTTTTTTATGGAACGATCTCGTTGTATGAAAATAGTAACAAAAACATAGCAGCATTAAATGAGAGGCAGACACAGGCTCAGAGGGACTATTTGTCATGGTGCTGGGGAGGAGGGTTTTGGGTTCCTGAGAAGAAACAATTGGTTCAGGCATTAGAAAAAATAGCAGTAGTTTATTTTCACCTACCCAACATTTTTTTTTTTTCCTTTTTTGTCTTTTTTCGTGTCCGGCAAGGGACCGCAACCCTCAGTGTCGCGCCCGTACCNCATGAATCAGTACTTTTTACCACCAAAGTCACTGCTGCGATATGCTCTTTTATTAGACATTGTTAAGCCCACTTGCAGAAGGTCTGTGTGCTTTACCAAAGGGTGAGTTTTAAAGAGACTGTATTCATGTTGTATCCAAAATGACCAGGTTTTTATAGCTTTTTTTAGTTCTTCTCAAAACAAGGAGCATTTTATAAAATGTTTCTGCTGATTTTTTCCCCCTTTAATTGCCTGCTTCATGTTCCAATAGAGCACAAGTGAAAATTTCTTCTGGCAGAACATTATGTGCACCACCCACAAAAGTGCTCGTAAAAGACAATGCCATTTGTCTGGTGACCTTCACAGGAGCTTAAATACCCAGAGTAGAAACATGGTTCGTGTAAATGGTAAATTGCTAGTATTTTAGCACCTTTCTTTCTGTGGCACATCAAACGTCAAAGGACTATGTCCACTGTCATGATCAATGTATAAGAAGAAATTAAATTTTTTTTTTCCTTTTTGTCTTTTTTCATGTCCGGCAACGGACTGCAACCCTCAGTGTCGCGCCCGTACCGGACCGGGACCGGCAACGGGATCGCAATCCTCGGTGCTGTGCCTGCCCCTTGCTCAGCCAGTGAGCGGGAACCGGTCTGTATGTGGGATCCGAACCCTTGGCAGGAGCGCCGCCGCGCTCCCAAGCGGCACACTGTAGCAGTGCACCACCGGGCCGGCCCGAAGAAATTAAATTTTAATCTAAAGAAATAAAATTGAATCATCTGGAGCACATTAGTGTTTTTTAAATTTAAATTTTATTTAGTTTTTTGAATAAGTAATATATTGCCATAGTTCAAAATTCAAAAAGTATTATGGTTATAAAACTCCGTTCCACTTTTTTCTCTTAGCTATATTGTTTCCCACCCTACACAAAGCCAGTGATATTAATTTACTATATAATTATCCATAGGTATTGTGTGTAAGGATGTATTTAAATATACAGTACATGTATATTTTCGTCCCCCTTTGAAGCAAATGGTAGCATATTATATAATTATTGGGGGCCATTTTTTTTACTGCACAATATAAATTGGATATTGTTGCATATCAGTACATAAAAGCCTTTTCTGTTCTCATGGTATAGGTATATCATAATTTATTTTACTGGTTATCTATTGATGAACATTTAGGAGGATTTCTTTGGGTTATTTCTCAACTGTTTAATACATTTTTCATCAATTTTTTTAAACCTAGAAAAAAGGGGAGAATTAAGCCTCTTTGGAAAAATTTTGCCAAAGATCCCTATCTCTGCTTTGTAAATGCCACTCACCCTCATTTGATAGGTAGTTGTATGATTTCACAATTCAAGCCTTTCCTTCCTACGTACTATCTTGCCGTCTTGGACAAGACTCTGTGCCCCTGATACACCCATACCAGACTCATTTAGATTTTATCATACTCTGCCCTTGTACTTCAGGGGAAAGGGTTTATTGCTTTCCACTAGCTTTAAAGACTTCACTCAGCTGTTGTCTATTACCAAGTCCAATAGGTTCTGTTTAGGACTCTCATAAAATAAGACTTATCAATTTTGCAATAAAAAACAACCTTCCTTTTTTTTGGGGGGGGGGCATAATGAAGATGGTATTAAAGAAGCCGTACTATAAACATCTATTTTAGTATGGATACTATATACACACATATTTATATGTGTGGTATACTTGAAAAACAATTTGAAAAAATTATTTCTCCCTGGTGTGACTTTTTTTCCCTCTAATTTATATTTTAAATTGTTTTCTTTAGGAAAAAATACTAGTATTTTGAACAACTGGCTTGGCAGTAATCTTAAAGAAATACTACTAATGCCGTTCGTTTTAAAAATATTTTATGCTTTTTATACAATTTTTTATGGAACGATCTCGTTGTATGAAAATAGTAACAAAAACATAGCAGCATTAAATGAGAGGCAGACACAGGCTCAGAGGGACTATTTGTCATGGTGCTGGGGAGGAGGGTTTTGGGTTCCTGAGAAGAAACAATTGGTTCAGGCATTAGAAAAAAATAGCAGTAGTTTATTTTCACCTACCCAACATTTT